AAGAACATTCACTCCTAGCCCCAGCAGACAAGAGTCCTTTGTCTCACCCTGGTCATTCCACAGATATATAAACCCTTTTTCCTAGTTCCAACAGACCTCACTACCTCTGAGGATGCTTGCCATAGATGCAGGCGAAACGTCAGGAGAGACTGCCTCTAGACAATGGCCATACAGCCCGAAAAAACCTACAACAACCCAATGAAGGAGATGCTTGAATGTGTGGCTGTTCCCACAACACGCTTCCTCGGGTGGCTTGGTGTCCTTGGTGTCCTTCCATCAGCAAGTGAAGACATTTTTATTCATTTAAGTCAGTGGTTCTCAAAATTCCCAACGCCACAACCCCTTAATGCAGTTCCTCATGTTGTGGTGACACCCCCCCCCCAACCAAAACATTATTTTCATTGCTATTTCACAATTGTGATTTTGCTCCTGTTATGAATCGTAATGTAAATATCGGATATGCAGGGTGCATTTTCATTCACTGGACCAAATTTGGCACAAATACCTGATGCACCCAAATTTGAATGCTGGTGGAGTTTGGAGAAAATAGACCTTGACATTTGGGAGTTGTAGTTGCTGGGATTTATAGTTCAACGACAATCAAAGAGCTTTCTGAACTCCACCAATGAGGGAATTGAACCAAACTTAGTACACAGAACTCCCATGACCAAGAAGAATTACTCCCTACATCACTCTCTAAAACCCCCTTGTTTAGACATACCCCACTCTGTACACGCCCAATGTTCTAAAATGTTAATCTATTACATCTGGCCCTGCCTGAGTGTCTTAAATCTCTTGTGTGTTATTGCTTACATGTTTATTGTGTTATTTGCTTGTTTTGTTTTGTTGATGTACTGTTTGTGTTTGGAATTGTATTTGATGGGCTTGGCCTCATGGAAGCTGCTCCGACTCCCTTCGGGGAGATGGTGGTGGGGTATAAATAAAGTTTTATTATTTACTAGCCCTCCCCTGCCAGGCGTTGCTGTGGCCCAGTCTGGTGATCTGGAAAATAAAGTAATGAGAAAGTGTTGGTTTCTAATATACACAATATCTGTATGCTTGTGAGTAAACAGTATTTCTTGTTGTTTCGTTGTCAGTGTTGATGTGGAGAGTGTCTGGTTTGCCCACCCTGGAACATGCAACATAGAATTGTCCTTCTTTAGGGGTCCCTTTCAAATCTGGGATACTATATCTCTCTGTGAGTGAATTATTTATATATCTATCTATCTATCTATCTATCTATCTATCTATCTATCTATCTATATCTATGGCTGGATGGCTCTTTGTCAGGAGGGCTTTGATTACGTTTTCTTGCCCTGGTGAAGGAAGTTGGACTGGATGGCCTTAAGTATTTTCTGTTGGTCATGGGGGTTCTGTGTGGGAAGTTTGCCCCAATTTTGTCGTTGGTGGGGTTCAGAATGCTATTTGATTGTAGGTGAACTATAAATCCCAGTAACTCCAACTCCCAAATGTCAAGGTCCAATTCTCCCAAAGGTCATCTGTTTTCATATTTGGGAATATGGAATATCCGTGCAAAGTTTGGTCCTGATCCATCATTGTTTGATCCCACAGTGCTCTGTGGATGTAAGTGAACTACAACTCCCAAACTCAAGATCAATGCCCACCAGACCATTCCAGTGTTTTCTGTTGATCATGGGAGTTCTGTGTGCCAAGTTTGGTTCAATTCCATCATTGGTGGAGTTCAGAATGCTCTTTGATTGGAGGTGAACTATAAATCCCAGCAATCTTAACTCCCAAATGACAAAATCAACCCCCCCCCCCCATCCCACCAGTATTCAAATTTGGGCATATAGGGTATTTGTGCCAAATGTGGTCCAGTGAATGAAAATACCTCCTGCATCTCAGATGTTTACATGACGATTCATAACAGGAGCAAGATGACAGTTATGAAGGAGCAACGAAAATAATGTTATAGTTGGGGGGTCACCAGCACATGAGGAAGTGTATTAAGGGGTCAACCCACAGTGCTCTCTGGATGTAAGTGAACTACAACTCATAAACTCAAGATCAATGCCCACCAAACCCTTCTAATGGTTTCTGTTGGTCAGGGGAGTCCTGTGTGCCACGTTTGGTTCAATTCCATCCTTGGTGGAGTTCAGAATGCTCTTTGATTGTAAGTGAACTATAAAACCCAGCAACTCCAACTCCCAAATGTCAAGGTCCAATTCTCCCAAACGCCATCTGTTTTCATATTTGGGAATATGGAATATTTGTGCAAAGTTTCGTCCTGATCCATCATTGTTTGAGTCCACAATGCTCTCTGGATGTAGTTGAACTACAACTCCCAAACAAGATCAATGCCCACCAAACCCTTCTAGTGTTTTCTGTTGGTCATGGGAGTCCTGTGTGCCAAGTTTGGTTCAATTCCATCCTTGGTGGAGTTCAGAATGCTCTTTGATTATATTTATTTATTTATTTATTTATTTATTTATTTATTTATTTATTTGCTTTATTTCTATACCGCATTTTTCAGCCTGATTCGGCGACTCAATGCGGTTTATAGGTGAACTATAAATCCCTGCAACTACAACTCCCAAATGACAAAATCAATTTTTGAGCGATGGTTACTCCTTGGGTTGTTAGGTGTCTTGTGTCCAAATTTGGTGGCAATTCCCCCAGAGGTTTTTGAGTTATGCTAATCCCACAAAAGAAGATTGCCTTTTATTTGTATAGATGATGATGATGATGATGATTCCAAGGCCTGATGGTTTCCTCTCGAACTGGCAATGAGATTGAGGCAGTGTTAGAACAAGATCTCAGACTATGCAGTGTACATATAGAGCTATAGAGCGAAGAGCAAGCTCACACCATCCATTCTCCTCCAGCAGCCAAGAGGCCTTTGAGCCTTGGGGAGTGGTGAGCACCAGGGGGTTAATCACCACATTTCCTTGATGCGCAGATCCCACGGGGGAGGTTGTGGCGGGTGCGCTGTCACTCTCCCCACAACAGCAGCGTTGCCATGTGGGTGGGCGGCCGGCCGGCCGGGGATTTCCAGGGTCTGCTGGGGCGGGACCGTCGGAAGCTGTGAGAAGCATTTCTTTCAAACAGTCCTGAGGAGGAACAGCATGGGAGTGCAAGTCAGGATTTCACTGAACAGGGGAAAACCAAACTCTCATGAATGAATGAATGAACTGTACCAGGTTCTGGGCTGTTGGATTTTTTCCGTGCTGTCTGGCCATGCTCTCGAAGCATTCTCTCCTGACGTTTTGCCTACATCTATGGCAGTGGTTCTCAATCTTCCTAATGCCGCGACCCCTGAATACAGTTCCTCATGTGGTGGTGACCCCCAGCCATCACATTATTTTCATTGCCACGTCATAACTGTTATTTTGCTTCTGTTACAAATCGTCATGTAAACTATCTGATATGCAGGATGTATTTTCATTCACTGGACCAAATTTGGCACAAATACCCAATATGCCCCAATTTGAATCCTGGTGGGGTTTGGGGAGGGGGGGGGTGTCATGGTATTGATCTTGTCACTTGGGAGTCATACTTGATGGGATTTATAGTTCATGGAATTGAACCAAACTTGGCACACAGAACTCCCATGGCCAACAGAAAATACTGGAATGGTCTGGTGGGCATTGATCTTGAGTTTTGGAGTTGTAGTTCACCTACATCCAGAGAGCACAGTGGACTCAAACAATGATGGATCTGGGCCAAACTTGGCAAGGACACTCAATATGCCGAAATGTGAACACTGGTGGAATTTGGGGAAAATAGACCTTGACATTTGGAAGTTGCAGTTGATGGGATTTATAGTTCACCTACAATCAAAGAGCATTCTGAATCCCACCAACAATAGAATTGGGTCAAACATCCCACACAGACCCCTCCCCCCATGACCAACAAAACGTACTGTGTTTTCTGATGATCTTTGGTGACCCCTGTGACACCTCCTCACGACCCCCCCCCCCCAGGGGTCCCGACCTCCAGGTTGAGAAACACTGATCTCTGGCAAGCATCCTCAGAGGTTGTGAGGTCTTGTTGAAAACTAGGAAAATGGGGTTTATATATCTGTGGAAGGTCCAGGGTGGGAGAAAGAACTCTTGGAGCAAGGTGTGAATGTTTCAGTTGGCCACCTTGATTGGCATTTGGTAGCCTGACAGTTATTACGTGTGGCTTGTTACTGCCTGGGGGAATCCTTTCTTGAGAGGTTATTTTGGTCGTGTCAGGAGCGACTTGAGAAACTGCAAGTCGCTTCTGCTGTGAGTGAATTGGCCATCTGCAAGGACATTTCCCAGGGGACATTGCCCGGATGTTTTGATGTTTTTTATCATCCTTGTGGGAGGCTTCCCTCATGTCCCCGCATGAGGAGCTGGAGCTGATAGAGGGAGCTCATCCACGCTATCCTCAGATTCGAACCTGCGACCTGTCGGTCTTCAGTCCTGCCGGTACAAGGGTTTAACCCTCGGGTGGTTAGCTGTCCCTGATTGTTTCTTGTCCGGAGTTCCCCTGTGTTTGAGTGTTATTCTTTATTTATGAAATGCCAATAGGGAGGGGGCCAATCTAATTTCTGTAGGAAGGGCGTTCCACAGCCGAGGGGCCACCACGGAGAAGGCCCTGTCTCTCGTCCCCGCCAGACGAAATCAAGCATAGAGATCTCGTTTACTGTGTTTTTGTGTCAGTAAAATAATAATAATCATCATCATCATCATCATCATAGTAGTAGTAATACACTTTATTTCTATTTCACTCTATTTCGCTGAGGGGGACTCAGAGTGGATTCCAATGGTACACGTCTCCTCATTTGAGCTCCAACCATGGCAGGCATTGCAGGGAAATAAAGTGCCTGCACAAGAATGTTTTGCTCGTCGTGATCCCAGTCTCTGTTCCACATTGGATTGGGACAGAGTGGGATCTAAACCAATATGTCTGCGACTATCAAAAGTAGCTTGAGTCCACGTTGCAGAATTATAGGTCGTATTATTTCCAAGAGCCAGGATTTCAGCCAGCCCTTCTCTTCCTTTTTTCAGGTTCTTGGAAGATGGAGAATTTTCTGAACCGGTTTCAACTTGGAATGCCAGTGGCTTCAACCCAATTTCTCACGAAGGATTACAAGGACTAGCGGCAGGGAAAGTGATGTTCTCCCTTTGGCTTGCATTTTCCCCTTTGGTGCGCAAAAATGAATCATCTGTCCATGATTGGAACCAGGCCGTTGATCTATCTTAAGTCTACTTTCCAGTTCTGATGGCGATGCAAAGGTGCAATTGAGTCATATAATCCTTTCTTCCAGCTTGATAACTCAGTGCCTTCTTCAGCGGGCTGGGCCTGTGGGACCTCCATGAACAAATAAGTTGGATTCTTTTCCTATGTGTTTGTATGCAATGGCAATAACATATTACTCCACATAGATACATTTGCAACCAGCCTATGATTGTCACAACACAGGTATATCCGGCCCGTTCCAGTTAGGATTTCTGGGGGAAAGATCTTCTCTGGGAATGTAACCATGCAAATTTCCCACTAAGCCAATTTGTGTGATTTGTGTTAAAAAAAAACACACACACACACACAGCTTGGAACTCAGAGAAGCTAATTCCATCTGTTCCTCTTTTAGTTAAACAGTGCTAATCAGTCTTGTTAAGGCTGATTCTTTGGTCAAAGAGGCATTAATAAAGAATCCTCTTACGTGGTCCTGGAAATATTATGGCCGGGGAAGAAAGTGGTCTTTATCTCTTTCCAGGCACTTGAATCCATACTATTCTGACCTGGGTTTAAGTTGCTTCGCCATATATTTTTCCCTCCTTTGCAACATTGCTCCTACTTTCAAAGTACTCAGAGTTGACCAGACGTATACCCAAGGTACTTCTTGCTTTCAATATCCCAATAGTCACCTATTTTGGTTCGGTTTCTAATGCTTCTCTGCAGAATATCGCTTCTAACCCGAGCCTATTGTAGCATTGTGGTGGGTTCTCCCTGTTGATGCTCTTACAAAGGCCTACTTCTCACTGATGCAATTGCAATGAAAGCAGAGCCGCATTTCACTTTGGTTCCGTCTGCTTTTTTTAATTTTTCTCCATTCCCGCTTCTGCCCAATGGCTCCTTGTGACGGAGGGCATTTCCCCCCATTCATTCCAATTACTCTAGTTCAATGTTTCTCAAGTGCTGAGTTGGGAACCCTGGGTTGGGGTGCGAGGGGGTTTCAAAAACCATCAGAAAACATATATTTCTGATGGTCTTAGGAACCTCTTTGGCAGAGAAGGCTGAAGATCTCTCCGCCTGTCCTTCTCTTCATTTTTGGAAACAGTCAGCAAATCCTCCCACCAAAAAACCCTCCTCTGAATGTAGGTGAACTTGGGCATATTGAGTATTCGTGCCAAATTTGGTCCAGATCCATGCTTGTTTGAGTCCACAGTGCTCTCTGGATGCAGATGAACTGCAACTCCCAAACTCATGGTCAATGCCCACCAAACCCTTCCAGTATTTTCTGTTGGTTGTGGAGTTCTGTGTGCCAAGTTTGGTTCAATTCCATCGTTGATGGAGATCAGAATGCTCTTTGATGTAGGTGAACTATAAATCCCAGCAACTACAACTCCCAAATGTCAAAGTCTATTATTCCCAAACTACACAAGTGTTCAAATTTGAACATATTGAGTATTTGTGCCAAGTTTGGTCCAGATCCATCATTGTTTGGTTCCACAGTGCTCTCTAGATGTAGGTGAACTACAACTCCCAAACTCAAGGTCAATACCCTTCCAGAATTTTCTCTTGGTCATGGGAGTTCTGTGTGCCAAGTTTGGTTCAACCCCATCATTGGTAGAGTTCAGAATGCTCTTTGATTGTAGGTGAACTATAAATCCCAGCAACTACAACTCCCAAATATCAAGGTTTATTATTTCCAAACTACACCAATGTTCGAATTTGAGCATATTGTGTATTTGTGCCAAATTTGGTCCAGATCCATCATTGTTTGGATCCACAGTGCTCTCTGGATGTAGGTGAACTATACTGCCCAAACTCATGGTCAGTGGCTGCCAAACCCTTCCAGTATTTTCTGTTGGTCATGGGAGTTCTGTGTGCTAAGATTCAACATCAATGCCCACCAAACCCTCCCATATTTTCTCTTGGTAATGGGAGTTCTGTGTGGCAAGATTCGCTCCATTCCATCATTGGTGGAGTTCAGAATGCTATTTGATTGTAGATTAACTATAAATCCCAGCAACTAAAACTCCCATACTAATATAGGGTATTGGTGCCAAATTTGCCAATCCAATTCCAAGCACAATTCAAAGTGCTGGTCTTGACCTATAAAACCCTATACGGCTCCGGTCCAACCTACCTGCCCGAACGTATCTCCTTCTACATCCCACCTTGGAGTTTTAAGATCGTCTGGGGAGGCCCTGCTCTCGGCCCCGCCTTTGTCTCAAACACGCTTGGCGGGGACGAGGGACAGGGCCTTCTCGGTGGTGGCCCCTGCCTGTAGAATTTGCTCCCCGGGGAAATTAGGTCATCGTCCTCCCTCCTCACCTTTAGAAAAAAGGTTAAAACGTGGCTGTGGGGCCAGGCCTTCGGGCAATCAGGTTAAAGGACAATGGATAATGTTGACGATGGCATGGAAGAGGATTTGGATAAGTTAAGCGGAGTCATCATTAGTAGGTGGCTAGCTCAACAGCCACCAGACGGGCAATAGCTAATCAGAGTGTAAGTATACTGTTTTAATCTTTATTTATTAATGTTCATGTTTAATGGTTATATTTGTTATTTTTTATTTTATGATGCGGCATTGAATTATTGCCAATTGGAAGCCGCCCTGAGTCCCCCCAGGGGTTGAGAAGGGCGGGGTAAAAATGTTTGAAACAAAATAAATAAATAAATAATTTTGGTCCAGTCAATGAAAATGCATCCTGCATATCAGATATTTGCATGCCGATTCATAATAGTAGCAAAATTACAATTATGAAGTAGCAACGGAAATAATGTTATGGTATGGGGAACCGCCTTAAGGGGTCGCAGCATTCGGAAGGTTGAGAACCACGGCTGTAGTTTCTCAAACATAAGCATAAGTAATGCCTTCCGTGACAGTGGCTTAAAAATCTGAGAAAGGGTTGGTTTGACACCATGTTGGTTCCCATGGGAATTTTCTCAGGAGCCATCGGACTGTTAATGAGAAGGTCTACCTGGGGAAATTTGTTGACAGTCATCCAGGACAATGGTCTTTCGACTGTCATTCAAGCCTATTATACTTGTTTTTGGGCTGGATTGCTGGATAGTTCAGATTTGTAGCATCGTGTCTTCCAGTCTGGACTGAGAAATAGTTCCCTGTATTTAGAAATACTATTTCCGCAGTAATGAATTCTTGAAATAAATGTAAAGTAATAATCAATTCAGTCATAATAATAATAATAATAATAATAATAATAATAACAACAACAACAATAACAACAACAACAATAATAATAGTAATATTTTTATTTATAGTCCACTTTATCTCTCCTGAGGGACTTAGAGCAGATTACAGTATGCAATATACATGTATGAGGCAAATATTCAATGCCTTTTACACACAATGACACACAAAACAGACAAAGGTAAAGGCCTTCCCCCTTTTTTCTAGTGTCGGAAAGCGATGCTCAACTCCGGCCATGGGGAGGTGCTCTTGTTCCATCTTTCCATGCTGAGGAGCCTGTTGTCCGTAGACATCTTCGATTCTGATGCCAGCATGCCTGCATTTCTGCATGGCACACCCTTTTACCTTCCTGGTAAAGCATGCATTGCGAGTAGAGCAGTACCTATTGCTCTACTCGCAATGCATGCTTTCGAACTGCTAGGTTGGAAGAAGCTAGGACTGAACAGTCAAGAGCTCACCCCAACTCACGGCTTTGAACTGCAGACCTTCCAGTCAGCAGATTTCCCGCAGCTAGCGGTTTAACCCATATTTATTTATTTATTTATTTATTTATTTATTTATTGTGTCAGGAGCAACCAGACATTTGTATTACATTTTTAACAAAACAAACAATCAGACAGACAAAACACAGAATTTGCAAGCTTGGTAGTTGATGAAATGTCCTTTGACCAGTCTCTGTCCCCTTGGAGTGCGTCTGGTGTTGCTGCAAATGTGGCAGGGCTTAGGTTGCATCACAGCAGGTGGTCAGTGGGTTGCTCTTCTCCGGACTCGCATGCCGTGGATTCCACTTTGTGGGCCCATTTCTTGAGGTTGGCTCTGCATATATGAGGTTTTGCGCATGCATTGTAATGTATTTTTTTTGTTTTTTGGCTTTTTAAGTCTCTTTTGCTGTGTTTTGCAATTTTGCAAGTCTCCATAGGGACCACCAAACGCAGCATTGCCCAGACACGCATCAAGGAACATGAAAGGCACTGCAGACTACTTCAACCAGAGAAGTCAGCCATAGCTGAGCACCTGATGAACCAGCCTGGACACAGCATATTATTTGAGAACACAGAAATGCTGGACCACACCAACAACCACCATGTCAGACTACACAGAGAAGCCATTGAAATCCACAAGCATGTGGACAATTTCAACAGAAAGGAAGAGACATGAAAATGAACAAAATCTGGCTGCCAGTATTTAAAAAAACTCTAAAATAACAGCAAAACAACAGAGAGGAAACAACCAGGCACAGATTAACACCTCCCAGCAACAGATTTTCCCAGGCTCAGGCAGGCCTTCAAATGCTAATGAAGGTGATCAGCTAAACATTCACACCTAACTGCAGCAGGGAAGAGCTCTTTGCCCCACCCCAGCCATTCCACAGATATATAAACCCATTTTTCCTACTCCCAACAGACCTCACACCTCTGAGGATGCTTGCCATAGATGCAGGCGAAACGTCAGGAGAAATGCCTCTAGAACATGGCTCTATAGCCCGAAAAAACCCACAAGAACCTAATTCGTCCATTGGTTTTTAAGTTATGTTAATCCCACAAATACACATTTCATTTTTATGTATATAGATTAGAATGGATAGTGTTTGCAGGGTACAGTTGCTGCTAGGTCTGCTCCGAAACCTTCTAAGAGGATGCGTTGTGATCATTATGCTTTTTGACCTCTCATGTTTATAGATCACATGAATGTCTGTCATGGTTCCACTTCCAGAATGATGTAAGGACCACTCTTGACCTTTCTTAGTGAAGGTGAAGAAGAGAAGTCTCTCTCTCTCTCTCTCTTTTTTTTTCCTCTTTAAAAAAGGAAGTTTTCGCTTGCAACAAACCACAAGCAAAAGGGAAGAGAGTCCAAAACACACCACGCTGCTCGCGGCGTAGGTTAAATTTAGAAGCCAGAGGAAATGACAGTTGAACATGTCATGGAAGTTAGCTAAAGTGGGACCTCTCCTTTTTGATATATTTATCGCTTCTAGAGGGTGTAATTGATGTTTCGGATTAAGGCCCCGGAGCCAGCAGAAATGGAAGGTCACTCTCTGTTGATATCCTGTCGCCAAACCATCGCCGGCCTCTCCTCCCTGCCTGCAATTCCTTGTGGCCAGCGTGTTTACTTTGGGAGAAAAGGCGGGGGAAAGTCGGATGTTTACCTTTCTAGGAAATTATCGCCATCCTTTTCCTCCTTGTTTTGCTTTTAATTGAGATATAAGAGGAAAAGGCTATAAGGAGTGGCCGACAGAGAAGCTGGAAGATGTCATGGCTCAACTGTGACTTGGCTTTCGACTTAAATTCTTCTCAAATATTAGCACTTGCACAACACTGATAAGAATGCTCAGATACACAGGATCATCTATTTATTTCTTCAATTCAGATTCTACCCTCCGTATAAGATCTCAGGAATATTAACATCTATCTATATCTATATAAATAAAAATGCACATGTCTGGGTTGTTGTAGGTTTTTCAGGCTGTCCGGCCATGTTCTAGAAGCATTCTCTTCTGACATTTCACCTGCATCTGTGGCAAGCATCCTCAGAGGTTGTGAGGTTTGTTGGAAACTAGGAAAATTGAGTTGTTGTAGGTTTTTCCTGGCTATATGGCCATGTTCCAAGAGGCATTTTATCCTGACGTTTTGCCTGCATCTATG